GCTGCTGCCGCAACTGCTCCCCGACGACATCAGATGTTGCTGTTGCTGCTGCTGCTGCTGCTGCTGCTGCTGCTGTTGCTGTTGGTGATGATGATGTTGATGGTGATGATGATGATGGTGGTGGTGGTGGTGATGGTGCTGTTCCTGGGTCGTCGTTGTACTTCTCAGAATGTCATCCGCTGAAAGAGGCGTCAGTTTCCACCCGGGCATAAAATCCAGGTCGAGATCGGGCCCAATGTCCACATCCAGTAATTCGTTGTTGTTGAGCGGGTCGAGCGGCGACTGACTCGATAAAGATAGTACACTACCCCAATTGATCGATCGGCTGTCGTCGCTGTCACCGATGCCAGAATCGACGTCAGTCTCACCCGACGACGTTGGGGGCACAGGGAAAGGTGTTAACCTACCCTGTTCGGGCGGTTGCAGTTGAGCGATTGGCGCCGGCACGACCGGCTCCATAGGTGGTGGACTCCTGTCCCTTTCCATCTCACGTTCTAAGTGTCTCAAAGTATTGCAGATCAGTACCGATCGGTGGAGGCTCGGATCCGGGAATTGGCGGTACCTGGCGAGTTTGCACATTGAAATGTTAAGCACGGCGAGTCGCCGCTGCCTGTAACAGGCCCGGCCGCGCCGACACCAGCTGGACTTTGAACCTTCGCAACACCGCTCGTTCGCCCGGTAACTCGAACCGAGCTCCAGATAGCTCTTGCCGTTTTCCTCTCGACGTATCGTTGGTGGCTCGTAATGATGAAGAGCGCCCCATTGTGGTTGAGATCTCGATAGCTGGCTGTAACCGTTGCTGCCGATAGGACTAACGGTGGCGCGCTGATGGTGATAATAATGTTGCGTATGATGATGCAACTGTGTCACTGTGGACGAGGCCGATGTCGAGGATGACGCCGGCGATTGTTGTTGTTGCTGCTGTTGCTGTTGTTGCGACTGCTGCTGCTGTTGCTGTGCCTGTTGCGGCGATTGGGAAGATGGATGGTGTTGCGACGGGTGTTGCGGGGATTGTTGCTGCTGCTGTTGCTGTTGCGACTGCGGAGAACTCGTCGACGAGGGCTGGCACGAGTTCGTCGCCTGTAGGCAGGGCGAGCTCACTTCCATCTCGTAATATGACGTTGATGTCTGGTTCAGGGGCGGCCCGTAACTGTCGTCCATCGCCCACCAGCTACCATCCACGCGCCCGAGCTTCGACGGACTCTCGCCTAAGTCCATGTGGAATTCCATACAGCCGACACCACCCTCCAATTTGCGTTTTCCTGCCGTCGCCTGCAGACCCATCATTGCACAACTCTGAAAAAAAGCCACAAATCGCTAACATTAGCTCCATGTATTTCTTCGCGCGCATCCAGCTCTATCTGTACAAAAGACGTGTAGTTATCGCTAGCCTTCAACTACAGTTATGAAAACTACATCTAAGTTCTAAGGCATCCTATTTGAGTATAGAATGCAAGTGAATCTCTGCCTTATAGTGACTGATACAGGAAGGTTCAAAGTATTTTTACCTACAATTTAGAATCTCATAGTATCAATCGTACACACAACCATCTAAAATTTTCGCTTTGAGTCAAAATGACCAATGTTACGTAATCGAGAGTCAGGTATAATTCTATTATATTCAGCCGCTACACGACTAAAGTTTGTTAAGGGTCAGCTAGTTATCTCAAAGTTATTCGTCGGTGTTGATGCAACAAAGACGAATAGGCGCGTTAGTTTTGCGCGACGATCGGAGGCGAGAGAGCAGGCAAGAGAGGACGTGACTCAGACGCTCGGCACTCCATCGGGGCGATGGAAAAAGTGACGTCACGCGACTCCTTAGCCCTGCCGGGAAGAAATCATCAGCGGAACGCGGACGATCGCTCGCTGGCGAGCGAGCTGGCTACAGACTTCCAACAGCAGTTATCTTAGAAATGCTCGCTGGCACTTATGACAAAGAAACTCACAAGCAGAAAAACAAAGAAAAGTTATACCTATTTTTTTTTAACGCATAATTTTATGAGCTGTAAAATAGTTAGATAACGAAATCATCTTTGTTTAAATAAAAAAAAATAAAACAGGTTTATATATACATTTATCGAGTTTAATTCAACCAAAGAGTATCTTTATTGTTGAGTATTATCGATTTCTCTGTATTTCGTTTTGTTCAATATTAAAAATTATATGAGTTTTTTTCCTCGAACTGGGAATGAGGTCGAGACATGAACACCGGGATTATAATTTCTCTTCGTCTCGTCGATCGTAGGGCGGGTCGAACTCGCGTGCGTATCTTGGCGCCGCGGACCCTACGAAAGCAGTACCCACGCAGCCGTGGATGATTTACGCGCGTACGAGGTCGCGCGAGTGAAAGTAAGTAAATAATCGTTCCTCCCTCCAAGCCCTTGCTCACCTCGGAAGACAGAGAGACGCGTTTCTCCGCTGGCGGGAGCAAGAACGCGTTCTCGCGAGCGTGAGAAAGAGAGGCTGGGAGAAGGGGGAGTTAGAGAAGGGTGAGAGGCCGGCGATGATGAAGAGGGGAAGAGAGGGGGATGTATCGCCACGATAGCGTGCTCGGTTGTGCTCGGAGATACCGTGAGATGTCACCAGCGACATGTTTGTCGGCTGGCCGAGTCCACGTGGCCTCCACATGACGTTTGATCTCACGGAGGAAGGATAGGAAAGACAGAAGGAGAGAGAGAGAGAGAGAGAGAGAGAGAGAGAGAGAGAGAGAGAAAGAGAGAGAGATACATATATATACATATATTATAACAGAAGATGCTAGGACTGTTATTCTGGCTGGAAGCCAGACGAAAAAGCGACGACGATAGTCGCCAGGTCGACCGAAAAGGGTAACGACAGTACTTTTGGTCCCCTGAGCATACAGACGCATGAAATTCAAAATGAAGGAAGAAGACGCGAATGCTCCCTCCCCCCTTCTTCATAATCACGTGATTAATCTTATTACCGAAGTCGATTATCGTCTCTTTGACTTTCGTCGCTCGACTCGATTATAGAGCGAATTGCCACTTACCAAACTTTGATAATTCGCACAACTTTCATAAATTCACGTTAGAAATAGTCGCGGATACTATTCCTACTCCGAACGTTTCCAACTCACGGCTTATCAAATTTAAAGTCTCTCTTCTTCCCCCCTCTCTTTTTTTTTTCCTTAAGAAAAAGGCGCGTCTTTCTTTTCACGCAATACATAACTTTTGAAAGTCGACAACTGCGGAATGAAATTATTCTATAACGTCTCGACAGTCGAGAGTCTTCGACTCGACGCTCATACGTTTTTTTGTTTTGAAAAGTTGGAATCATCGATGCGTGGTAACATACGTCTACTTTTTCATAAGTGAGAACTGATAACAGCGGCTGCAAAGCGTTTCATCGTTTCACTGTGTGCTGAGCGACCAATGAAATATTAAGTTTCATTAATTTTCATATGTACGTGATATCCGCTGATTCACAATAAAACGGAGCTGCGCGCTCGAAACGTTTTGTAAGCGAATTTCGTACGCAAACGGGACGATCTAATGGCTCGGGAAACAAACGTCACCGCGTTTCCATCGAACTCAGCGTCCGCACGTCATTACCAACGCCGCCTCGAGCTGCGCTGATAGCGCGACTCCGCTGGCGGTAGTGAACGATGTTGGTGATCGAGCTTGTGGCGTACACGATGGACTGGAGACTATAGGCAAAGCCAACGTGACGCGCAAATGTACGTTCCCGCTATTGCCGTTTCTATTCCGTATGATTCCGTTATATTCCATAAATCAGCACTAAGAAATTCGATATTCGATAAAATCGAAAAAGAAGTCGGATAAAATAGACAACTTTTTTCACGATCCCATTTCTTTATCGCGTAATTACGCGACGTGCGTCGGTTACTATTCGAGTTCCGTGCTATTTAGCCTCTCGTAATCGAAGCCATATAAATTTGTGTATAATTTTATACTCGACTGAGAGTGACCCAGTTTTGTCTTATCAGTCGAGACAAGCGGACTTGGGCGGTAAGACTTGTACTCCGAGCGTTTTCTACTTGCCACGCAGTAGTAGTTACGTTCCTGGCCTGACTCGAGTGTCTCTAGCGGCAACAGCTCGGCTCTTGCGACCGCGTACATCCGCCGCAGCCGGCCGTAGCGGCCTACTTGGAATATGACTCGCTCGCGGAGATTCTCCTTCCAACGCGACGTGCTGGTCAACCGGCCAGCTCGGAGCTCCGAGGAACGTTCGTGGAATCATCGCGGAGGAAAAACGACGCGGCGGATCTAATCTCGCCTTCTAGCGTTCGAGAGAATGACGCCAACTCTTTTCCGAGCGACTCTTTCTTTTTCTCAAAACTACATTCTTTTTCTAAAAGTGACATTCGCTGCAACAGCTCACTTTGCGAATCCTTGAAGGATCTGTATAAAGACAGATTTGAGCAAATCCGAGACGAATAAATGAAATAATAAATTTAATCATTCGATGGAATATTTCAAAATTTTTGTTGCGCTTTGAATCTACTGATTACTTCGCCGCTTATTTTCAATCGATATAAAAAATATCTGACATTTTTTTTATTTTACTCCATGCGTATTTCACGTTGATAAATTATGCCTCGCGACTCGCTCGCTCGTCGAATTGCTCGTACGAATTGTTGAAACGATTCGCAAGTTTCATCAGATTATCACGCGAAGATCCGTGCAAAGCGAGTGAATCTCGATGCACGTTGCTGTACGTCGTGAAAGTGCGTTGGGAGATAAACTCGTGAGAACGAGGGTGGTACGCGCGTGTACCGTGGGTTAATAATTTCGTCGATCGGTGAAACTTGGTCGTTGTCTCTCGATTACCTCCCACAGGGAGTAGTACGTAACTCGGGGGTATGTACTTGAAAATTTCGGCGAAACTCGGCGAATGGGGCGCGCGCTCGACTGTGGATGCGGCCGTAATCTCCGGCGTCTCCTCCTCTTACGTGCGATATTTGCGAAGCGTGACCGGGCACTTGTTGAATCGACAACGGGAACGGGAACAAGAGGAACTTGGGGGGCGAGGGAGAAAGGAAGCGCGAGAGGGAAAGAGAAAGAGAGACCAGGGCAAAGCGTAGAGTACAGGCGAGGGAGAAAGGGGCAGGAGAGACGGATGGACGGTTCGAGGTAAGATGGTTAGGGAAAGGAGGAAGCGCAAGGGGATGAGGGAAAGGACGAAGAGGTACACAAAACGTGGGAGGAGGGTGACTCGACCGCGAAAGAGGGTTAGGGGGTGATTGAGTAGGACTCGAGGGTGAGGCGACGCACAGATGGGACAATAGGGGTGAGGTAGGGGATGGAAGGGGGAAATACACTGGGAAGGATTAGTTGTATGTGGCGATAATACGCGGTTCTTAACCGGCCGTAAATCAGAGTTGAGAGAGGCGCCACGCCCCGCGACGCTCCTTTTCCACTTGTGAAATCCTCGCGGCTTGCATCTCGTTTGTAAACCTCGCGGCCACGCATCTATCGGCAGGGGTTAATGTGGAGCTTAATAAGGGTTTCGCTCCCGCGATTCAAAGGAAATGATCGTAATGTATCACTGATATCCGATACTCTTGTTTGTGATATACAAATACAAAGGAAAGGACGGTTTTGTTGAAGTATCTGAGAATTTAATCAGATACAAATCTGAAAATAATTTCATTGGATTATCAAAATAATTATGTAGGACGCTCAAACTGGTGCCGGAATGTCCAAACCACGAATTCCTCGTTCGAAAATTCCATAACTTTTCTCTAATTTCGAGACAAAATTTCATAATTTTCCCTGCTTCCAACATTTTGAAATTTTTTGATATTTTCATCCTGATTTGGAAACCGCTAAATATTTTATTGAGAGAGCAATTTAACATAGCTATGTGAATTACTGTTAATGTTACTGATACTGCTTGCATTTAATTGTTAAGTTGGTATTCCAAAACGGCGTAAGTGTAATGTGTGCGTATCAAAAACTTCTTTAAAAAATCAAGAATTTTAATTTTCCAAAAAATTCCTTGACTTTTCCTAATTTCCCCGATCGTTTTCAATTTCTCTGATATTTCCTTGATTTACAATTTTGTGACAACCCTGCAAACTTTTTACAGTATTATTCGGCATGCTTGAGATTTTTATATAATTATTTTGATGATCAAATAAAATTATTTCTAGATCTGTATTTAACTAAACTTTTAAATACTTCATTAAAATCTTTCCTTCCGTGTAGGTCGGCTTATCCAATCGCGACCGCTATTTTATACGACGTACATTCCAACGCGTGCACGCACTTCTTGACTTTCGTACAAGGCTGAACGATCCTGAGGGCTTCTCT